CTGCAATTAATGAATGAAATTTCCTCCAATTCACCAAGAGAGCTATGCCCTACTTCCTGTGTTCCCAGCAGACTGTCAAGAAAATCATTCTGGATATCGCAATTCTCCATGCGAAGAAATTTGAGTTTTCCATTGAGAAGTATTTGGTGCGGGAGTCGAGCGATGTGAGGATTACCATTCTTAAGAGGGAAAGAGTGAAGTTCAAGTGTATGGAGATTGCCCATTGGCCCAAATATACCATCCTCACTGAGAACTTCATCAAAATATTTCTTCGTTGCTGGGAATACCTCATCAAGTTTCCAGATAAGAGTGCGGAGATTGGGGAGAAAGAGCCACGACTTGAATGGACCGACGACGGTGATACGATCCAGGCAAAGCCACGTTAGGTTTGTGAGTTCGAACGGGTTCATGCTAAGATCTAATTTGACTCCTTGAAGGTGTAACTTCTTGATTTGAGAATTGAGCCATGCTGTATGAACGGCCCCGTAGTCTCTGAATTTTCCACGACATTCGTATTCGTACTTCGCGTACATCAATACTGGAGCTTCGATTGTATCGAGAAATGACAGGAATCCTTTGAAAATAAGGCCCTTCAATGCAGGAAACGACAAGTGGGTGGCATTATTTGAATCAAATTGAGCGGCCTCTGATAATTGAATACCATTACTTTCTGTTATCGTGTCTGAGAGAGCTCATTCAGAGTCTTTGATGATATAAGAGGTAGACTACTGACCAATCTCAAGAGCCAAGGTCGTGATATGGGTACAAATAGGGTGTCCTGCGAGAGCGTTACCAATCGTTAGAGGTCCTCCAAGTATCTCCAAGTACAATCTCGTCTCCTTTGACCTTCCAAGTAGATCGAATAGACTTTTGAGGAGCCCTACCCTTCCGATATCTGGTCTACTCGATCTCCGCAGGAGTATATATTCAGAATAGCACCATGTTTCGAGACGAATAACAAGCCTTCCGAGGAATGGGAATGTTAAATTTGTCAAGAACGTGGACATACTTCCCCCATCTTCAAAGGACCCGACTTGCAATTCCAAGGACGTAATGCCGAACGAACGTGGGACAATGGTTGGCATTAGCCGGCGTAATGTTAGTGTAGTATAGTCCAGGACCTTTATTTGAATATTTTCTCCCTCCGAACGATACAGAAACAAGGCCAGGAGATTGGGCTGTAAAGCCGTCAACTGGGGATCAGCATTTTCAAACCAAGAGATAACATACACTCATAAGCCAGTCAAGGGTAACATCTCTCCATAGCTTCTTTGTTCCGATCGTAATTGCTCTCCAAGTCCGGCATACGTGGCTGAGGGTCAAGGGATTCACGCCTAGCGCCACTGCTAACCAAGCCACCTGTTCAAAGATCTCTGGCGGGATGCGTTGAACAGCACGTATGACAGGTCGAGATGACACTGTCGACATTCTAGCTATCCGAAATCTTCTGCCTTCTCTAAAGTGAATTTTCACCAAGGATTTATATGTGATGAGAGGGAGAATGTGCGGCGCGGCTAACCTGCGCGCGAGGGCAAGTCTGCGCACATTCAAATGAAATAACCAGAACTGTACCCGCCGGTGGGAAAGACAATCAACGCAAGGCCCATTTAGACCATATACGTGATATATTCCTTGTTTATACAAAGAGAAAACTCAGAAAAATGGTTGGAGAGTGTGATTCAGCCAAGCCTGAACCAACCCCGGTCAAGCGTGTACAAATTGACGCCGGAGACACCCTATTTACTCGTTCAATAGGCCTTTTATCTACATAAATGATAAGTATAAAGTCCAAACTGAAGGAGGTAAGTGGCCTTGTCCGACTTAGGTGAATGCACCGTTAATCCGTTGCATGCTAGCTACATCATTTAACTTGGACCTTTGATAAACCTCTTTCCTTATCTCAAATCTTAATATTGTAAAGCTATTGTCTATTTCACATATCCAACAGGGTGTCCATTCAAACATCCAGCGACAGCAGACAGCCGAATCTTGATTCATTCCTTAGGTACAAAATTAAGTACCGCAGTGGGCGTAGTACTAGATATGCGAGTCCTGATGTTTTGAATAGACACCTCCAGATTGCAAAGAATGAACGAAAGCTCCTCCAATTTGTGTATGAGACCATTCCCCGCTTCTTGATTTCCAAGCAAGCTTTCAATGAAATCTGCCTGGATGTCACAATTTTCCATGTGAATGCATTTGAGCCGTTCGCGAACAAGGATTTGGTAAGGAATTCGAGTGCTATGAGGTTCGCCATCCTTGAAGGAGAAAGAGTGAAACTCCAACGTATGGAGATTTTCAATGT